CAATTAAGCGCTTGGCCCCTCAAAGCGCTGGTAGCTAAGGTGACTTTCTGGAAACTCATGCACTGGATAGAGCATGAAGTGGTCATCCAATTTTTCCAAAAAAAAAAAACTGGTTACCGGTGAGTTTTCCATTAAATGTTGCTTCTGGTTTCATCGATGCGCGCATGGTCTGGACGATTGTAACCAAATCCTTCCAGGGCGGCAGCTGGCATTTCTGGATTCTGAGCCGCTTCTGCAGGCACAGCACAGGTTCTTCTTGAAACTCGGCCATGGTTATTCTTCTTGTCGGGCGGGCACCACTATCAGGTTCTAATGTTCCTCCTTACTTGCTTAGGGAAACATTTAACTGTCCTGACTCGGAACAGGGAGCTTACTAAAGCTATGTTCAATAAATTTGGGAAGTAGACAATACACACAGGAAGGGTATACGAAACCCTTTATTTTTCTCTCTTTTACAATGATTTCCGGACTTCGGAATACAGAGACCAACCACTTGTGGTCTGAACGTAATAATATAAAAAATATTAACTAAAACTCTAACTAAACTAACTTTGGATTAATAAACAAGTGCCTAACTCCAAGATTGGCCGTTAAATTAACAGAAGCCGTATGTAGTACAGAGAACTGCTAAACACTACGATAGGTTTAAAATTATCAAGAGGATTAAACCTCTGGCCTTGAAGGCAACCAGCAACCGAGTAAAAACTACTATGGCCAAGCGGCCTGCTTCTAATAGCTCCTTCCTCTCTCTTGCTTGACAAAAAGCCACAACTTAAGTACTTGGCGTTCGCAAGACAAATTTGCATAAATAAGTTAAAGCTTTTAATTCTGCCCGGAAGTAGAAAATAAGAAGTAATAGTAAAGATTTAAAATAAAATAAACGTTAGTAAAACTTAGGATCGTTACAAAACATGCAATATATTTAACAGAAGAATAGAAAAGTCCTAACAGGGTAATTTTTTTTTCTTCTTATTAACAACTAAGAGACCTAGAGTTTACTTTAATGAACTTGAAAGTATTCAGCTACTCGAGACCAAGATTTAACCTGATAAATTTAGTAGTGTAGAGATATTCTTTTCTTTTTTGCAGAAGATACTAAGAGTTGTTTAGTAAACTTGATACTTGAGAGATACTTGATACTTTGAAAGCGAGAACAAGAACTACCTGATAAATGTAGAAGTGTAGAGATAGATATTCTTAACTTTGCAAAGAAGACCAAGAGTTACTTGATAAACTGAGAAGATATTCCTTGATTTGCAAAACTTTGTTTTACCTTAATTCATGTTTTGAAAGGCCTACATTAGTTTCATTATAGTTCTCTAAACCAATGTTTATAAATTAAATTTAATTACAGAACCCTTTTTATATACTGGAAAAACCTATAAACCATGATTAATTAATCAATCAATCTAATGCATACTAAGTGAAGAGTAATTACAGGTATAACTCATGGAATAAATCATGAATTAATTATTAAAAATAAAATGTGTAATGTTTTACTTTAAGCCTAAAGATTAAATTGTTAGTCTGGTACATTTATCTTTACCATGTTGACAACACCAAGTCTCTCCTCTGTGTGCGAGCTATGGATGCCATTGTAATGTTGTGCACATGTTGTTAAGTTTCAATAAAAAATGTGAAAAGATATGTTTCTTGTTTTTTGACTTGCTTCTTGATATGATATCGTTTTATTTAACATGGTAGCAGAGCGTGGTTTGTGAATATGAATGAAGAATTTAGTAGTTATAATTTGTTTTAAAACTTACCGGTACTAGCGTAAAAATGGCATGTACAAGAAGTAGGGATATCGGCATACCGCTATTTGATGGTTCGGACTATTTAATTGGAAAGTGCGTATGATGAAATTTCTTCAATTTAAAAAGTGTAAAGATGTGGTTCAGCGAAAAGTCAGTGAAAACGAAGACGTGGAAAAATGGGAAGAAAAAGATATCCAAGCTACAAATTACATTTACGGCACCATAACAAACAAGCAATTGGAATATATTCACAAGTGTGAGACTGCATTTGATATAATTACGAAATTTCATGCAATGTATTTAAAAACTTCAACATCTCTAAAAATTGTTTGTCGAAATAACTTAGAATGTGTGAAACTGAAATTTATCCTGATGTAAATATATTTTTCAATGATTTTGAAAAGTATGGGAACAAACTGAAACATGCCGGCGCCACCGTGACGGAACAAGAAAAATTGAACTATATGCTAACAGCATTACCTTCAAATTACAGTCACATTGGTGACTAAATAGATGTATTACCAGAGAAGGACAGAACAGTCGATTACCTAAAGAGCAAATCAAATCTAAAATTACTTGAAGAGAAAAATGATTATGAAGATTGCGCACCAGCAGAAAAATCAAATGCGTTCAAAATTGAAACAAGCAAATCGGGTCCACAAGGGAATGTCTGTTATAATTGTGGAAAACCTGGTCACATTAAAAAGAATTGTTGGCAATGTCCATCAAAGGAACTATCGTGGTAATGGCTCCACTAATTATCGTGGTCGAAGTTCTTCAAACAATCGAGGAACGTAGTCGTGCTTTTAGTGGACATCGTGAACGTGAAGCATACTCTAACCACAGAATAAACAGTCATCACGGCAATAGTTTTCACACCACTGTTATCCGAAAGTAACATGATCAAGTTCCAGTGCAAATACTGTGACGAATAAAAATGAAATCAATTGGTTACTGGATAGCGGATGCACAGACCACATTATAAACAGTGATGAATATTTCAAAGAGCAAGTCACTTTGAAGGATCCTATTTTCAAGTGAAAGTCGGTGACGGAAGGATTTTGAAAGCTACAAAGGTTGGCAATATAATAGTTTCTTTTCCTGTATATAACTCTGAATCTATCGTAACATTGAAGAATGTATTTTATGTAAAAAGAAATGAAAGCAAATTTATTAAGTTATTCGAAGATTACTGATAATCATAAAATAGTTTCAAAAGAAAAGTTCTCTAAAAATATATGATGTCAATGGTTCATTAGTAGCAATAGCAAGAAAGAAGAAAGATTATATAAAGTAAAGAGTTATGTTAAAAATAGTAAAATATTTGCAAATTTGACCAACAGTAAGTTAACATTAAAAGAAAAATTGCACCGTTCATTTGGACATGTAAATTTTAAATATCTGGATATTATGTGCAAAGATCAAACTATTAGAAGGAATCCCTATATAGAATAGAAATAGAAAACCGAAATATATGAAGTGTGCCATATGTATTGAAAATAAAATGCACAATTTACCATTCAAGAATAATAGAAGAAAAAGCAGAAGATATTCTGGAGATTATACATACAGATGTAAATGGACCTCACAGAACAAGTGGATGTAATGGTGAGAAATACTTTGTGAGTTTTATTGATGATTATAGCAAGTTGGCAAAAATCTATTGTATCAAATCTAAGGATCAAGTCTCTGATTGCTTAATTGAATATGTAAATGAAATTCAAAATTTAACAGGGAAGACTATTAAAGAACTAAGATGTAATAATGGTAGTGAATATATGAATAGCAAGATATACAATTTGCAAGAGAAAAAGGTTTCATGCCCACCAAATGTACATGAATTAAATGGTACTTCTGAGTGTTGCAACAGAACTACATATTATGAATTGTTATATGTTATTATATTATGAATTGTTATGTTGATGCTGATTGGGCAGGTGATATTGTTGACAGAAAGTCAACTACTGGGTTTGTTATTGAATTATTTGGTAATCCAATTTACTGGAAATCCAAAAAGCAAAACTTGTGTGACAAAATCTTCCACATTTGCTGAATATATTGCTCTATCTGAGGCTGTGACAGAAATTAATTTCTTAAAAAAATGTTGTGAATGATGTTTTTGCTGATGTTAACTCATCCCCATTAAAATTTATGAAGATAATTCAGGAGCTTTGGCCATTGCTAATTATGGGAACTTCACTAAAAATTCAAAACACATAGAAGCTCAATATCATTATGTACACGAAAATGTTCAAAATGGAGTAATTTAAATTGTAAAGATTGAATTCAGAATCAAATATTGCAGATATCTTTACCAAGTCTTCAGGAAAGGTTAAATTTATGAAATTCAGAGAAGGTTTGAAATTGAAATAAATTTTGTATACTGTTTATTTAAGTGATGTTTACTTAAATATTTTCCTTGAAATGAAATAGATTTTGGTAATGTCCTTATGTAAACTAAATTGTATTTAACTTTGATTTTAACATTTAAGTTAATGAAAGAAACCTTTTTTAAAATAATTTGTGTTAAGTGTTGAATGTTATTGTTTATATGTATGCTTAATTGTAAATGGTAAAGATGAAAAGGTTGTTTATATGTATGTTTATTTGTATAAATGTAAGGAGGCGTGTTAGTTTGGTACATTTATCTTTCCCATGTTGGCAACACCAAGTTTCTCCTCTGCGTGCGAGCTATGGATGCCGTTGTAATGTTGTTAAGTTTCAATAAAAAATGTGAAAAGATACGTTTCTTGTTTTTCAACTTACTTCTTGATATGATATCGGTTTATTTAACATAAATTGAGTTATTGTTTTACAAAAGTTGCTGAATAAAAAAAATCTAATTTCAAATTTGGGCACTGGAGAAAAGAAAGTAAAGGAGGATAATTTTTTCTACTGACGGCAGGTGATTTTAGTTTTTAAAACATAGATTTCTGTTCTTATTAAAATTCTTATTGAAAGTTATTATTCTTATTGAAAGCTGGGGGTAGGAAGGAATTTTACAGTTTTATTAATATTTGTCTCAATGTTAATAAGTTAACATAAATCTCTAAAACTAAACTGTCATTCTAATGATGAGTGTTTTAACAGTTTCTTAAAAAACTTCATTTGCCAATAATCTGCATTATTGCCTTTTAGATTTTTTTTACTTATTTTAATAGCACACTCACATAATAGATTATTATGCTTGTGTGAACTTAGTTGCTGTATAGAATGTAATATCATTGAAACATTTCTTTTTAGAATCCTACTGGTTTGCACATGGAGGAATTGAAGAAATATCGCCAGGAAATCTACAGAGTGGATCCAACTCTGCGGGTATGCTTTTTATAGCTGAAATTATGCTGAAGAATGCAGTCTTATAGATTAGTTATATTTATTTTGAAAAGTAATTTGTTTCTGAATGGTGGAAAGTTAAATAGAGAAGGGAGCTAGTTTTTATTTCTTTTTCATTTTGTTTATTTCCTTCCATTTTAGCTGTTCTTAATTATTTACAATGTATAGTTATTGGGAATGTCCAAATTCACTCTTACTTTAAAGCAGTAATTTAGCTTGCTGTAGTATGTTACTTTAAAAAAGGCATGCTATTCTCCCACATTCATGATCATAGCCTGTATTGCCATCATCACACAGCATTTATTTTCTCCACCTCATTTAAGACTGTATTTCAGATCATCTTTCATTATGTCTTTTTTATGAAGTAAAACATGCTAAATGATATGGTGTGGGAGGAAAAAATATATGTCAACTTGTTTTCAGCAACTTATTGTTCCAATGGTTACAAGTCAAATTGGGTGGCAGGAAACAGCCTTTAAGTTGCTAATTTATTATTGGTTAATCATGCCTATGGACTGTACTCTGATTTTAGAAACAAAAGAGCAGTTTAAAGCCTTTACAGTTGTGCTGTTTCTCACCATAGTTTAGCTGCAACATCTGTTTCTGCTTGGCTTATTACCAATGAAAACAGAATGCAATGAATTGTTCAACTAGGCTTTGAAAATTATAATTCATTTTGCTTCTATGTATCTGTGTGAGAAAGGGTTTTCATCACCAACTTAAATAAAAACAAAGTCCTGAAATTGACTTGATGTATGTGCTGATCACAGACTTAAGCTTGCCAGCATTATACATCTAAACGTAGAAAAATTGTGCAAGAATCAGCATGCTTATCCATTTTGTTACTGTAAGTACCAACATTTGTTTAATTTTTTAGTTAATATCATAAGGATTATCAAACTCTGATATATTTAAGTTATAAAAAATGAGTATAGATCTTTTTCTATTAACTTAATTACTTTAATATTAATATAAAATTAAATGAATTGTAATTAATTGTATTTTAAAAATATAAATGTACCATTAGTAATATATACTAAAATAATTCCTTTTAAAGTGAACAAGAATAAGATGGTCCGCAGAACATTCTAATTTATAAAAGTAGTCTCCACTTGAAAAATGTTTTAAGAAACACTGTTTTAAGCCATTGACATGCATCATGATCCAGTAAAAAGTTTGTTTGCTCACAAGACATGTGTATACCAATTATTGTTTTGAACATGAATCTATGTCATGATCATTGGTGTGCACCAATTTGGTCATTCCATCCATTTGGCAAACATTGCCATTAATTTTTAACTGCATAAACTAAGGGACAGTTGATTCACAACACCAATTATTAGATAGAACTGCAGGTCTGGCAAGGTGTAAAGCTAACTTGTGGCAACAATACCAAGCAAACACATGCCTCAATACTATTAACATAAAAATTTGGGTTTGTGTAAGTGACTAGTGATTATTATATAGATGCATTATTTACAGGTGATGCTAAAGAAATTCAACTTCAGAAAGATAAAGAGGAAAGAATTAGGCATTTTAGGGAACAGCAAGAAGAAGAACGTTTAAGAAAGCTGAAGGACTTAGAGCAACAATTTCTTTTAGCTAAGAAGCATCGCGAACAGCAAGAAGAGGAGAGGAAGCGAAAGATAGAAGAAGCCCGCATTAGAGAAATGGAACGAAGGCAGCAAGTTGAAGAAAGGAAAAGGCAGATATGGGAAGCAGAGCAGGTATATTATTTTTTAATGTTCCTGAATGTAATTAAAAATTTGAGAATAGATAGATAGATTGTTAATCTACTTTCTCCTTATAAACCCTTTTCACTAAATAACGATATTTATTTAGTTAAATAATTTTATTACAGGTAATGAGACTTATAGGAAAAAAGAATCAAGGGAAAAAGGATGGGAAATCTTTAAACCAAAGAACTTAGAATCTTTAGAACTTTTTTTTATTTTCCCTGCCAGGGGGTGGGGAATCTTTACCTTTTGATTAGTCATGTATAATTAGTAATCAAAATATGCACTAGTTCTCTATTCACAATAAGAATTCACTTTTAACCTTTCTGCGATGGCACACCTTTGTTTAAGATGCTCATGCGGGACGGAAGGCAATCAAAGGCAGTCACCGTACAGGACAGGGGTTTTGCGTCGCTAAGCCTAATTTTATAAAAAAATGAGAACAAAAAAAGTTTCACTTCTAGCATTGTAATTTTTGGTATCATTTTAGATTTTTACTTTTTTCTTCATTTTACGTGAAAATATCTTTAAAAAATTGCTTATCTTGTAAAATAATTTTGGAAGCACTATTCAAATTATTTCAAAGTTTTAATTGATAAAATCAATCAATAAAGTTTAATAAAGCAAAACAGTAAAAACTATTTACAGTAAGAAGTAACATAATTTAAAATGAAGACTGAGTGTGGTAAATCTCGAAGCATGGAGAAGTATCACTTTCTAACTCTTTAGAAAATGAATCATCACTCTCATTTGTGTTAGTAAATGGTTCATTAACCATACAAGTGTATTCTTCCTCTGAAAAATATCGCCTTCATGCCATAATAGACTGGAGGTGAGGCTTTCCAAATTAAAAAGAGAAGAATCCGAAATATGTCTGATGGCAATGCAAAACATAATAAAGCTCCACATGGTAACCCTAAAAGACCATACATGGTAGAGGAAAAATAGAATAAAAAAAAAGGAATTTGATATAAATCAGACATGCCAAGAATGTGTATATTAGCACATGACGATTTAAAGAGCCCACCTCTGTTTACAGTTTCCCCCACCTTCGCAACAGTTGACGAGTAAAATACCAAAGTCAGGCAGAATATATCAAACTCAAGGTCAGAAACCTAAAACTGTGTTCATTTCAAAAGTAATGGACATAGGATGCCATCTAGTGGTCTTCAGAAAAATGTTCCAGCTTAAAATGCATATATGCATCACCCATCCTCAGAATGCAATCTCTAGTGATGCGTGGATGGGACACCCAGCTGTAAAAGACGTTCTTAGGGAATGTGTATATGGGACACCCATCCTGAAAGGGTTAAAAATTCAATCCAAAAATATAATACCCTTCCACTTCTTGTCATGACAGGTGTTTAGTTCATAGGTGGGGTAGAGAGAGACTGATCAGGTAAGAAAATTTTACCTTCTTTGTTTGAATAAAAAATTGAATTAAAAAAAGAAGGGAAAGTATTTCCCTTCTTTGGAAATATCTGCATCTTTTCAGCTGATGTAGATATTTCCAAGGGGGGAATTTTCTGAATGGGTTGCACCATATCGCCATAAGCTGTTTGATGCTGAATCATTTGACCAAGATGCTCACTTGTGAATCTCTCTCTTAGAATTCCCCCCACCAAAACTTGTTGATGTCTTAACCTTTTGTTAAGGTTCATTTTATCGATTTGTTCTAAGTCAGGTAATCCAGCTTCCCTAGTTTCACCCAAAAACATTGTTGGAGCTAACGGGATAAGGTCCTAAGAATCATTGGAGACATACACGAGTAGTCTATAATTTGCTACAGTTTTATAATCATATAAAACGCTCATTGGTTCTGTGTATGTTGGAGATGGCGTCTCTAAAAATTAATGTAGAAGTTTTTTAATCATTTGAATCGTCCTGTCCCCAAACCCTCCCCACCAGCCAGCTACAAGGGGTTTAAAATTATGTTAGATTCTCTTTACCGAGACTTAAACGTCAATGACATCCTAGTTTATGAATTTGAAAAGATTGCTGGCTCCTGCAAAATTAATTCCATTTTTTCTGTAATTAACCCAGGATTTCCTATTCTTGCAATAAATCTGCACAATCCAAGTAAAGAGAGCTTACTAGGTCTTAGTGAATGACCCTGTACACAGCACAAATAAACAAAATAATCCAGGGCTTTTCCCATTTTTTTGAAAAGTAGAGGACTTGTTAAATCCACTCCACAAATCTCAAAAACAGCAGCGTCTTGAACTCAATTCTAAGCTAAAGATACTGGAATACTCTCCATTCTTTTAGCTTCATGTTTTCTACATCTGATGTATCGGGATGTAACTCTTTGAATTGTCTTCTTACTTTTAAGTATCGATTTTTTTTTTTTTAATTTTGACATTAAAACATGTAAGGCAAAGTTGTGTATCTTTAAGTGCATGTCTTAAAATGATATATTCAACAAGTTTATGATTACTTCGAGGCAGCATGGGGTTGTAACGTTTCCTTTCTCTGAAGAACACTTGATCACCCACCCTAAAGGAAGGGACAGAAAACCCTCTTCTCACCTCGGTTTGTTTAAATTAAATTTGCTGTTTCTTTTTTTTTTTCTTTATCTTTTATAAAAACATTCTTGTTTTCAAAATTTGAATCACCATTAAAATATTTTTTACAATGTGTCATTCTATTTTGTTTATTGAAAAAACTAATATAAGCAACAAATTTTTTACATTTAGAAAAATTTTACTGTTATCAAAAGGAGCTGCTGTTGAAGGTGCATTTTCTTGCTGGAAGCATCGAGTATGCGCATATATTTATTGAGAGAAAACGATTTGGTGTATATTGTTTATATGAAAAGATGTAGAGATTTTTCAATGGGGAAATAACATTATTAATTTTATTAAAATTTGTAGACTATTTGTATTCTGAGGTAAGAGACAAAACATCAGATATATAATGAATTTGAAATAAGGATATATATAAAAAGGATTTTGGCACTAGATATTCCTGGCGGAATATGGTAAAACTTTTTCTCTGCAGAGAATTAATGTAATGATTAGTATTTGAATTTACCAGTACTGTTACTCTTCAGTTTATTAGTGTAATTATGTATTGTATTAAGATTTATTTGTGACAGATAAGCATTTTATTTTGTTTTTATAAATCTGGTTCATTTATTAATATTATATTTATTAAATACTGTTTTTCATTGTTTCAAATTGTTAAAGCCCCACTAGTGGCCACCTGGCTAAAACCACTTATTACTACTGGTTCAACTTGTATTCGAACTCAGGTGATGAACTTGCTGCATGGTTGGGCTTGAGATGATTATTATTTTTAAATTTTTAAAAATTTGACTTTAAATTCAATATTTTAAAATTAATCTATTTGCAAGTGTGGTAATTTTTGCTGCATAATGCTTTTGTATAATTGTTTTTCAATCACTTTTCATTAAGTAACAGTTAAATTTTATTCATTAAGTAAAAATTAAGTCTGTATTCTTTAATTTGATGAGTAGTGTATTTGTGTGGGATATAAATAAATCTTTTATGAGATGCAGTAAAATTGGAAGCTAATATCTGAAAAGTTGTGGATAGCTGAATTGTGTACATATGTCAATCATATAAGCTCAAATTAATTTTGAAAGGCAACAGTATACAGTCAAAAGTCATTAATCCGGACTCGTCGGGATTTCGGCGATTCCAGATTATCGATTTTTCCGGATTATAGATCATCAGTTTAAATCTCGTAAGATGGCATGCAGAAATTCTAAAATTAAAAATATGAAACCGTAATTTATGAAATAAAGGAACAATTATGATCTAAAGGGTATCAAATTTACCAAAAAAAAAAAAAAAAAAAAAAAAAAAGCTTAATATTTATTTGTTTACTTTATTAAACATTTCTTTCAATGTAAAGTTGTTTAAGTTGCTTCATTTCATGTGACAATACTTTCTCTTTAATTCTATTAAACAGACATAATTTTTGTTCAGTTACAAAGTTCGCTGTTCAAGTCCCGTATTTGCTGTGCCGAGAATACCAACTAACTTGTCAATCGAAATTTTTTTTCGTTTTCACTAACCCTCTGTCACCTTCTTCATGTCTTATCCATTTTTTGCAGCCATTCCACTTTTGTTTGATGGACATCGAACATACTTTCGTTTGTAGATCTTTGGAAGCTTCAGCATCGGAAAATTCTATTTGACATAATCGAAAGTTCAAGTTTATTTTATAAAATTGTTCTTACATCTGCAAAAAATAATAAGCCGCATCCAATTCGAAGATTAAGGAACAACGTAATAATCAACATTAACTGAAATAGATAATTAGATAATTTTAGCTTTAAACGCGCACGCGAAAACGTATTCTGCGCTTGTGCACACGCATATGCGCAGTCGTAAAGGTCTTATGCGCATGCGTAAACGCCTTTGCGCATGTGTCAACGCGACGCATGCGCAGAAAGTTTTTAGCTTTGAGGTCCGGATTATGGGTCCGAATTAACGACTTTTGACTGTATAACTTAAAAGTAACAATATATCTAAAATGAAAAATTTTTAGATCCTGTTGTATATTTAATTATAAATAGAAAAGCTAACATGTGCACAGAAAATGCTAAATAACTTCATTTAAAAACTCACTTCTTTAATCAAACTATTTCACAAATATTGTTTTGTTGAAAAAAGTTTATTTGCATAATTATATAAAAATAAAAAATTATAGTGTTGAATTTTCTAAAAAACAACATTTTGTATGTATAAACACCCACAATTTGAACATAATTCCAAAAATGAATGTGGATTACAGGTATTAACAGAATAAGGAGAAGTGAATTATCAAAATGTTGCTGTAGTAGGTTTGCTAAAAAAGTTAAATGAGAATACTAGGATGATTAAATCATTCCTTTTTTTTTATTACAGTATGATTTTTCTATTGTTTTTAGGAAAGAAAAGAAGCAATTCTTAGACGAAATATGGAAAGAGAAGCAAGGATAGAAGCTCGTCGCAATGCTCAGAGGAATTCTCAGTGTTTTGCTTTTGGTAGTTCAACACCTCGGACATTTGATCTTGATCTTGCAGCTATAGGAGTAGGCAGAAATGTGAACCAGGGTACTGTTTTGATGTCTTCAGTCAGTGGAAGGCGGTCAGAAGAGCGAGATTTAGGGCCACCTCGAGCAACTTCAGCCTGTAGTCTCGATCGAAAGTTTGGTTAGTTTTCTTCTTCTTTCTTTTTTCTTTCTTTCTTTTTTTTTCGGAAGTATTAAACCTTTGTAAGTTAGATATATCAAAAATCGGTAAAATTTGTGGTATTTTTGTGATTTTTTTTTTATTTATTTATATTTTTTTATAAACATTGAAGTGATAATATTCTGTTGTTATTTCAGAAACAGCACATAGTTATTTTGAGAAGAATATACATCCATGGGAGAAAAGTGCTGTCATTTATTATTTGTTGAAAATAGTTTGAGAATTTTTTTGCATTTATTTATAAAGTTTTTCACAGCTTTCATAGTGCCGTATAGAAATATATATAATATTCAGTTTAGGGCCTGATTTACCCATCGTGAAATGAAATGTGCACTTTGTTCTTCTACATCAGGGTTTTTTAAATTCATCTATCTATTTAAAATACGTGAAATTTTACAATCTTACATTTGTCAATACTAACCTTCTGTTCTGTGTCCTTTAGTAACAAAGTTATTTTCTGGAGGGTTTCTTTGGTGTCTGTGATGTAATAATTAACCCATCAAAATAGATGAAACTTTTGACCAACACTGGCAGTAGGATGATATCTATGTTCCCCTGAAAAGGGACTGAGCTATCACACAGCCCTAAAGGCAAACTCAAGAAGGTTCCAGATTTTTAAATAAACGGGATTTTGCCTATAATCTTTGGGCTTGCTGAAATCTGAAAATATTCTAAAGTTAGATCTACAGTTGTCATAAACTGCATACGTTTGGCCTTACTAGTAATCTCCTTGGTAATATGAGCAGTGAATAAACTTGTAATTTTGTTTAGTTTATGGTAGTTGACTGCATATGTGCACTATCGGTACTGCATTACTAAATGGCCATTTTTTTCCTTACCTAATACCAAAGAAAACTTATGTAGGCACTTGAATTCCATATTATAATCTTGTTTTTTGGCATTTCCTTAATGTATCTGTCAATTATTCCTTAACTGCATCATACTGGTAAGGCTTTGATCTACATGGCAGAATATACTCTGCTTGATTTCATGCTTTAGCTCCAACTTATCTCAAAATAAGTCTGCAGACTTCCGTATGAACTCTAGGATTTTTTCTTTTTCTTCATCTGGGACATATTCTAACTGAACTTTTGGCAAAAATGCAGTACTCCTTGTCAACCTCTTCTATCTCTAATATTATTGTGTTTTCTTTAAAATCTACTTGGGACCTGAATTTTCAGATCCCTCAAAATAACATTTATTTGCAGTCATTCTAAAAAACAAAAATAGTGTCTTGAGACTTATTCATGACCTTTATGTTTAACTTTATGTTCCCAGCAGTGTACATCATTGCTGTCCTGGAGTTGCTCCTACTTCCAACCCTTGTATTTTGAACAACCAGAACTTAAAATACCTGAGAAAAAGGTCTGGCAACAAAAAGCTTTGCATGTTGCCACTGTCTGATGTTGCCATCATTGTTATTTTATTTAACTACACCTGAAGGTGTGGCAGTTCTACATTTTTTATTGTGAAAGTATTGGGCAAAATTTGAAAGTGTTTCAGACTTGCTGCAATATTTGACCACCTTCTCAACGTCTCTTTTTAGTGAACATTTCCCCCATTTTCACCTCCCATGCACTTACTGATACTCCACTTCCATCCTTCTACTCTCATACTTCAACACCAACTGAAAAAACTCATTTAAGGATATGAGGTTTCTTAATTCTACATCTTGTATCTTAGGTAATAATTAAGGAACAACCACCATCCCCAACGTTTTACTTTCTTGGCGATCACCATACAACAATTTACAGATTTCCACTTTCCTTAACATGAACTTAGTTACTTCTAACAATTCTAAGCTGAAATCTGCAATACAACTCATTTTCTAGGTTGACCCTATTTTTCACTACCAGAAGTGCTTTAAATGTCTACTTAAATATGTTAAAGGTACAAATTGGTTATAGGACCTAACAATTCCTTGCTAATATACCATTTTAATGTCGGATCCTGTAAAACAAATGGCCCTAACATGTATTATAGCTGAAAACCTCCAAATTTTGAAATTACATGTGGCAGTGATGTATCACATTTTTCTCTCAAGACTGACATTTTTAAAAATTTGTTACCAGCTAGCAACAAAAACGAAATTTAAAGCACTTGATTGTGATGCTTCTCACCATTGTTTTTCTAAATATCTAGTGCAACCAAGCCCACTCAGTGGAAATGGAATATAGTGAATTGTACAATTATGTTTGAAAAATTATAATTCAGTTTGCTTTTACGTATCTCTGTGAGAAAGCATTTTTGTCATGAATTCAAATAAAAACAAAGCTCTTTATATATGCAGAAGATATCAGACTTAAGCTTAATTATACATCCTAACATAGAGTAGTTGTGTAAGAATTGGCATGCTGATCTATCTCATTTATATGAATACAAACATTTATTTAATTTTTAGTTATTAATATAAAAATCATCCAAACTCTAATAACTTTCAACTATAAGAAAGAATTAAAAATTTTCTTCTGTTAACTTAATTACTTAACATCAATATAAAATTAGGTGAATTTCAGTTCATTGTATTTTAAAAACATAAGTATACTGAAAGTGACATAAACTAAAAAAATTACTTTTGAAGAGGATATGAATAAGGTGGTCTGCAGAACATTCTGATTTATAAAAGTGCTCCTTACTTGAAAAAAAGTTAGAGAAATGCTGCTCTAATACATCAGAACCTCTCCTGGGATCGGGGCCAGCACATTCATTTTAACATTGCTTCGTCACTAGAACTTAACATCATCTCCATTATAGTTTTCACATAACCAGCTACACAAAAAATTTAGATTTTACACAACAAATTTCAACTTTCAATAATTTTCAAATAAGTACTCAACATTGGAGGCCACTATAATGATTGAGGTATGACTTACTTTGTAATTGATTTATTCCATCAACCACTCACCCCAGTATGTTATCTTTATTGTGTGTTGGAGTTACTTCCCTTTGCTTAACAGACTATGAAAAATAGATAACATGAAATGTAAAATTTAACTTTTAGTTCCTCACTGCTGGTAAATTGAACTTAATACAACCCAGAATTTAAAATCTCCTTGGGCATAACCAATAATGGAAACATTTACAACAAATTAACTGGCTACAACACCAATGATCCTTCATGCAGCTACTGTATCAATTGGGTCAGACAAACTAAACTGTTCTAATAGTTACCAAACCATGTCAAATGCCAGGCATTCACATTTATTTTGATTAGCAGCTTCTGTTGTAATTTGCAAATAGGTGGCAAAAGTCAAACCTCTGCTATCTAGTCATGTTATTCTGATTTTTTGTGCTCAATTTAAACAATGCCATTTGCCAGAGAATCTGCATAAATCCTTGGACTGACTGAGTATGCCATGAATTGTAGCATAAAGGAAAACATTAACTTAATCTTTAACTTTTAGTAAAACTTAAATGCATTACTGCAACTTGATAAAGTGGAATTATAAAAGCAAAACCTATAGAAAGGAGAAATGTGTTTTCTGTTTAAAGATTTCTAAATAAAAAATGGTAAATTATGAGATTATTTCACTAAATGATTTATATATACTTTTCAACAATGATATGGTTATATTGAAAGGAATTATAGGAAATGGACATTCTTTAGCACTAGGTGTATGGGCATTTTTGTATACCTGTGTTTGAACCACTTATTTTCTTAAAAAATGATTAATTTAATTTAGAAACATTTACAGTCTTAACTAGAACTACAGACAACCATCAATATGACAAATTTGTAATTTTTTTAATTGGTGTAAGAAAAGTTACAGTAATTTTAGTGTTTTACAGACTTTTACGAGAGCAGTCTTTCCTAGTACTATCTCTAGCAATTCAGTAACTCTTCGTGAATAACTCTTGATGATGAAAGAAGGGTATTTATTCAAAGTAAAATAAAAAGAGTACTTTCCTCTAATTGTATAATGCTATTGTTAATATTTTCTTTTCAATTATCTGTACGTGCAGTCACTGAAACTTTTCTAAAAAATCTTGACAGACTGACTGGACCTCAATGACTGATGATCATTACTTAGTTTTTAGCCTAATGCTTTATGTTTATATAATGATATTATGTTATGTAATCACACGTGACATATCCCTTGCTGTGGAGAGCCACGGTGCATTTATATTGTGTTCAAGGTTATTGAAAGATATTTCTGTTGAATTATGATTTTTTATTTAGTTTTACCTTCTAACTACTTTTACTTTTGTCACCAGAAAAGTAATTTCATAAAAAAAAAAAAAGTTTTATAACAATTAACTATGAAACTAGCTTGCCTGTCATTTTGACGAGTATCTGTAGAGATAGGTATACATCATACAGAAAACTGAAACTGAAGGGCTGTAGGAGAAATAAATATTAGTATGTATTCATCTCATTACCCCAATAAATGTCGGTGTAAATTAGAAAACTATAAAAATAGTGTTTCTGTAATTTTGGTCATGAAGTCCAAAAAAATGACGAGTTCCATAAAAGTGTTAAGAGTCTCCTGACACTGACTGAAATATTCTGATGTTATTATACTCTTAAAAAAGTGAATGAATGCACAGAATTTATTTCTTCCATTCTGCTTAAGAGTGATTTCAGTATTGAGTCATCATTCAGAAGAGCCAGAATAAAATAGCAGCAACATGTATGTTTAAAAATATATATTCATAAAATTTTAATACCTGGCCATGAAAGGTTTCACCAACCTGGTTTGATGTGCATGCATATTCTGATTTCCACAAGTATTTTAATTATATGTGTAAAAACCAAAAGCATGTTTTCATAAGGGTTAAGTCAAGAATTAAATCTGTCCTTTAAGAAGTACATTACACTCATGTCCATTAATTAAGGATAGTGCAAAATCAGGCAAAGAAAGAGTTAGAAGCAAAACAAATTTGACTTATTTGTAAAGCTTGTTTATTAAACAAAAGGTAAAGAGCAAGAAAAGATGCTATATGTTTGATATTATTAAAAAAATTAGCGATTTTTTCTCCCTGGAGCAAATTTAAAAAAAAAAAAAAAAAAAAAAAAAAAAAAAAAAAAACTATTTACAAAAAAACAATATTACATGGTTGATATGATTATTAATGCATTGTATGTCTCCCAGATGATGCAATACAGTCCGTACAATGCCTAGTCATGCTTAGTATCAAATTATCGATCTGATCTTGGGGGATATTGCACCACTCAAAAAGCAATGCTCTCCGAAGTTCCGGTAGACATGTAGGAGGAGGTTGACAGGCTGCAACTCATCCGTAAAGCATGTCCCACACGTGCTCTACTGGATTCAACTCTGGTGAGAATGCTGGCCAGTCCATACTGGTGATATCCTCCGATCGAAGGCATTCGCTTACGATGTTTACACAGTTGTCATCCATAAACACAAATTGTGCACCCATGGCGCCCCGAAACAAACGTACATGTTGTTCCAGAATGACATCCCGATAGATTCCAATTTGAACATGCAGGTCAGTTCTGGAACCCAGAATAATTCCACCCCAAACGAGCACTCCTGTGTCACCGTAACGGTGTCGTTCAATGATGTTTTCTTGGTGGTTACAGGTACCTGGAGCTCTCCATATGAAAGTCCGGTGAGAATTAGACTGCAAGCTAAACCTGGACTCGTCGGAAAACATCACACAAGCCCACTGTTACGGTGACCACAATGCATGCTCTCTACTCCAGGCTAACCGCAGCGACAGTGAGTTGCAGTAAGTGGAACGCATCAGACAGGTCTACGAGCCTATAGACCAAGCTGCCGTAAGCATCTGTACATGGTCTGCCTTGAAATTATTGTACCAGTGGCTGAAGAGAGCTGACGAGACAGGTAGGCTGTGCTCCGCCTATTTCTTTTGGCAGTAACTGCCAAATACCGGTCCACATTCGGCGTTGTAACTCTGGGGCGACCTGTACTGTAACGTCTACTCACATTACAATCATCTTGAAATCATTGCCAAAGCCTGGAGATGACACTCTGGGCAATTCCAAGTTTGTCTGATACTTCCAGTTGGGTACGCCCACATTCCAGACGACCGATAATTCTACCACGTAAAAAATCATCCAAATGCGTCCTTTGTGTCATAACTATTCGGTTATTGCACTGAAATGTTATAAAGTGCCTGCGAACAATTTTACTTCTTTGCCTGTATTCCTTATATATCACTCTCTTACACTCTCATCATTGTGACGTACCATCGGCATCATCTGGTTACTTCCTGAAATTTGCATATGATTCTTGAAGACGTGTGTAGTGATTTTACAGGTGATATATTTATTTTAGAGTTCGATTTCCGCGTGACTCCGAATTATCCTTAATTTATGTACATGAGTGTATTTTTGTTGTAATGTATTCTGTAGTTACCCTAGTACATATGCTGGTAACATTCTAGTAATAATGTATAGACTAAGACAAGAGTTCTCAACTGAGGGGGGCAGGGGGAATGGAATCATTGTTTTGTTTAAATGTTAAATATTTAGTTTTAGATTATGAATATAAAAACTACTTTTATTCAAGTTTTGATATTTGTCAACATTTTCTATAATTTTTCTTGTTTAATTTACAAAGCACATGAAAAAAAAAGTATATGTCTTTTTTGGGTTTAGCATGCTCGTTTAGCAATGGTGAAAGGGGGTGTATGATGCAGGAAAGGTTATAATACTATCATTGTTAGAAGTCCCATGATTTTATTTTTACTTAGTTATAAACAAGTTATTTTTAACAAGGTTAATGCTAATGCCAAAAAGTAAATAACTTATAGTATGTAACTTATATTGTCTTTTATTTTGAAAGACTAAAATTTCATATTTCATTTTGAACTCCAGTTTTAACTTTTTTTTTTTTTTTTAATTTAGACGTATTTTATAATTTAAAGAGGGGAGAAAGTGAATGTTTTTATTTCAGTGTTATTGCAAAATGTTTAGTTCCTTTTATTTGTTGCTGATTTATTGTTTTAGGATTTCTTTTTTTCTTTTTTCTTTTTTTTTCCTTTTCTGCTTAATTTTACTTGATACCAAAACTGATATCAGCTTCAAGAATTGACTGACTTTTAGATTGTAATTACAGATCTAAAATTCCTATTTTCCAGAAAATGATATATCTGTTGATGACTTTTCTAAAGACTACAGAGAATTCTTTCGATCTTCAAGCCTCGAACCATTTGCCGGGAGAGTTAGTAATCTCTCTAAGCAAATTGCTATGCAACATAAAAGCTCTGACAACATGAAAGCATGTCTGTCGATGTGGGATGGTGATGTTAACAATCAACCAGATTTTTTTGATAGTGTGACATCTGGCTGGCTTGTGGGTTCTGGGGTATTAATTGGTGAGTAAGGGATAAGATGGACAATTTTAAGGAATGCTTGCAGACTGACCTCTTTCAGTAGCTACATTATGGAATGATATAGCTTTGCATGGTGTGAGGTCAAAAATGCTAACACTGGGAAATAATTTTGAAGTCCTAAATTATATTAGCAGTATAATATACTGATATGTTCATTATGTGGAAATGTTTTGCAGCATCATAATTGAAGAATTATTAAATGTAAAATTGTGTGTACTCTAATTGCTTGTAGCTTTTACATGAAAATGTGAAATATTTAATATTAGTCTCATTAAATGGATCAGAAACATTAAAAAAATTAGTGTAAACTTTTTAGTATGAGTAGGAATTAAATTCCAATCTAGAACTGCAGTTTTTTTATCCTGAGAGGCAAGATTTGTTTTTAAGATGAATGAAAATAAATAAATAAATAAGTAAATTAGAAAAAAATTGGATACAATATAACTAGTTTACAGTTGACGGCAAAACAAGTTTGTTGCTAATGTGCAAAGTTAAGGTGAAGAATTTGCTAGAACATTAAGATAATTTTTTAATTTTATTTGATGTTTTTTTATTTTGAAGAAATAAATTTTGACATTATTATTTTGAACAGATAATTTTCACAGATCCAGAAACTAAGAAAATATATTAAAATTTTTGTTAGAATAAAGAAATAGTTTTTTGTAATTCATATGATTGTTAAAGGTATTCAGAAACATGCTAAAAATAAGACAGAATCTCATTTAATTTATTAAAGAAAACACTTTATTTTTTATTTTATTATTTATTTATTTATTTATTTTGTGTGTGTGTATTGCATCTTTGTTTCTCTCTTCATGTATGTTTTTAGATGATGCAATAAATTCACATAATGGATTAATTTTATTTGATTATGTAATAAATTCACATAATAGAATTAATGAATTATACATAACTAAACGTAACATATAATTTAACATATTACTGAAAGTTGGTTTAAAAATTCCCGTGTATATTACTTTTAAGCAACATTGCCCATAGAATTTTGAAACAAATTTTAAAGTGTTTTTATTATATATGGTTTCATTAACTGCAGATTGGGCTTCTGTGTAATTAAGGTTTAAACATTAAAAATGATCTTCCAAAAGCATTTAATTTAATAGGGCTAAAAATTTACTTTTTCGTAAGTGTAAATTAAAAGCTAATTAAATTAAAATTAATATTAGTAAATAAAATAAAAATGCATAAAAATAATTTTTATTAAACATTTGATTTTTTTGTTCTTAAAGGTATTTTCAGATAGATTTCTTGTATGCATGGGGGAGATCATTTAAAACTGTGGAAATTATCTGCAGAAACTAAAAAGAGAACATTGCACTACTAATTGCAGTAAAAGCACTTCCCTACCCATAATGCTAATAGCAGTTTGTTTTCTTGCTTCTGCATAGTAAAACATAATAATAGAAATGTTATTATTATTTTCATCATTTGCATGCAGTACTTTTAAATTTCTCAATTTAAAGAAGAATGCATAGTTTAGAAGCTTATGTACTTGTATTTAACATGCCAGTGTGATTATTTGCTCTGCTTTATAACAAATATACTTTTAAAACATTTTTATTTAATTGATTTGCTTTTCTTATTTTCTTATTGTCTGCATGTTAAATTTTAAGTTATGATTTGTTTTAGTTGCACAGTTTATGATACTATTTTGCCAATTTTTATGTGCTTAAATAAGTCATCCTTTGATGTATATAATTAGGTTTTTAAAAATATCTCATAAAAATAAAATTGAGGTAAATCAAGCTTATATTTATCACCCAGCAAATTGGGCTGCTTGTTAGTGAAATAGATTTATGTCATGGTAAGTGCTTGCAGAGTTTCAATTCTTCTATAAAATAAAGTACTAGCAATGCAATTTTATAACCTATTATACTTTGCTGGTATTTACACCTTTAAATTGGACTTTTAAAATTGGCGTACAATTAAAAAAAAAAAATGTTTTAAAGGTTTTTTTTTGTGTGGGGGAGGGAATACATTTTCAGATGATTAATGGCATACTGTGATTTTTGTTCAAAAAAGCATGTTAGTAAACTGATTAACTTATTCTCTTTATGTTATCAGTTTGAGTTGAAGACTAATGTTTGAGTACATTGTTTACCAACATATGAAATGAAAATGACTAAAACTTAGTGCCACCATAAAAATATAAGGAAACAGGCCCCCCCTTTTTTTTCTTTTTCAATTGAAACATGATAAAGTATGCCTGCAAATACAGAATCAATAAATTTCTGAACAAAAGGTCATCAATAATCTTCATGGTATCATAAAAATGTCAACATTATTTTAGACCTGGACTGTCTCCTTTAAATTCACAAGTGGATCTTAGAAACTAAGTGAAAAAGAATTATCCCATTTACTGCCTGTTACCATGTAATAATTTATTTCATGCTGTGGTCATTTTTTTGATGCAGTCTTTAAACCCATATGTATTTGTGCTTTGTTTTGAATTTACATTGCTTAGTAGGTATGTATAAAATATCAATACAATTAGAAGCTAATCAGATGTAAATGTGCAATGATTTTACTGCATTATACTAATAAAACCTCTTATTCATAAGCTTCCCATTTACAGAAATATTTGTATAATCACTGAGTCATATGTCTAGGATTCTTAAGACACAGAAGATACAGCAATAATTTTTTTCTGAAGATCACTGACAAGGTTTGTGGTAGGCTGTGTGTTAAAAATCTGTGAAAATTTGATTTTTGCAAGATGATTAGGAAAATAAAATTCATTGTATCAGAAACCAAATCATATTTTCATTTTTTGAAAATAATGGTATTTGTTTCATAACCAATAATTTAATTTCTTTCTTTTACTTTTTCTGCAGGAGATGATTGTATGTCCCGAAGTATGGTTTCCTTATCATCATCAGCTTTTCGGGGAAGAAAAAGGACCGACATAATGCCAACTCTGACGAGAGAGCGCAGCATCACACCACACATTACACCAAGAGGTAATCAGTCCATGAGGGCTGTCAGCATGACCCGACTTGATCAATTGGCACAGCCACGGCGAACCTACCGTGACCTCAGAAACCATGCGACAGGCACCACCACTATGAATGGAGGCCCAAGGACTGTTTCACCCAGTATGAGCAAAAGCATGTGCAATCTTGCTAATTCTGCAGCTGCTAGCAGGGGAGCACGTGCACCTGTTGCTCAACAGCATGGCAGTGGTAACATGTCCCAAAGCATGATGCATTTGGCTGATATATCTTCTCAAAAGGATAATCGTCGTTTGACACCTTCCCCAACTTTTCCTAAAAGTAGCATGCGATCAGCTCAGAGTATGATGCATTTAGCTGCTGCACCGAGACTTACTAGGGCTGCTCGTTTGAGAGCTCAAGCTCTGGCAGGAAATCGGGCAGCATCTGCATGGAATTTGAACAAACCAGACAGTTATGCACCTGGACATTATCTATCGCCAGGTATGCTTCTGCATGGCTCCGAATTCCAATTATTGTTATTATTTTCAAAGTACCCTCCCTCTTCATTAATACTGTTCATATTAACTTTAAATTTCTTCCCTTATTAGAAATTTAGGTATTAGAAAATTGGGAATAAATTGTTATATTAAATTATTGCCAAGAACATTTTATCATATTTGTGAATAATTTTAAGATTCTAATTCAGAAGTCAAACAACAAAAATCAGCGTTACATTTTGAAAATTTTCACAGGACTAGTTTCGGTGGTTTTACCAAACCACCATCCTCAGCTGCAAAACCGCAAATGAACAAGATAGGAAATAATGATTAGATAAGATAAGAAAGCATGGACAAGAATAAGCAAGTGGCGCCATCTGTTGGTAAAATCAGAACTAAAACATAATTTCTTTAAAAGCCGAAAGCAAATTTGGATTGGAATTAGGATCGTTAACTAGAACAGAAAGATTTTTATGAATGTGAAATGCCTCTAGAAAATCCAGTTCTCCAATGGAAGATGTTTTTTGAATAATTTTGGCAGCAGAAAAATTGAAAGTGTGATTTTCGGACCAACAATGTTAAGCAACAGAAGACTTCTGTGTTTCCATTTTTCTAACATATGCCTCATGTTCCTAGACGCGAAATTTTAAGGCTCTCTTAGTTTGGCCAATGTAAGTTAAACCACACTGGCAAGGAATCCTATAAATACCCCATGAATTCATATCCGGAATGGGGTCCTTGAGTATGGTACTCGGAATTTTATTGATGGGAGAATAAACAACCCGAAAGTTAAATTTCTGCCAAAATATGTGCAACTTTGGCTTTATAGCTAATTGATGGAAAGAAGGGAATGACAACAGAATTTTTATAATCTCCTAAAACAAGAGTGTGCCTTTTAGTGTGTTGAGATGAGAATTTTTTAACTGCTTGATTAATAATGTTGAGTGAAAAGCCCCTGTCAATAGCTATTGCTTTTAAATAATTTAGTTCTTAATCAAGGGTTAGTTTGGAGGAGCAAACTTGAAGAGTACGGAAAACATAGGAATAAAATGAAGCTAACTTTTGTTTAGTCGGATGACGTGATTTAAAGTGTGGTGGAAGGCAAACTGATGAAGGTTTACGGTAAACCGTAGTACTGAAGTTGGATGTGTTACGTGTCACCAAAAAAAAAAAAAAAAAAAAAAAAAAAACAAAAAAAAAAAAATGAATGTCGAGAAACGGAAGAGAATTGCAAGTCTCAAGTTCAAAAGTGAACTGAATAGCAGGATCAATAGAATTCATTGTTGAAAGAACTTTATTTAAATCATTTTTGTTACTTTCAAACAGGATAAAAGTATCATCTACATAGCGGAACCATGCTCGGAAGTTTAAAGTTTCAAACAATTTTGATTCATAATAATGCATGTAGATATCAGCCAGGATGGGACTGAGGGGCCTTCCTATGGCTAATCCGTCAGTTTGCTTGTAATATTTTTTTTGGAAAACAAAATGTGTTTGTTTCAGACAGAGTTAAGTGAGAGAAATTAGCTCATCAATTTTGATGCAAGAGAAATGAAATGAATATTCTTGTCCAGGCTTTCTTATCTTATCTAATCATTATTTCCTATCTTGTTCATTTGCGGTTTTGCAGCTGAGGATGGTTGGTGGTTCGGTAAAACCACCGAAACTAGTCCTGTGAAAATTTTGAAAATATAACGCTGATTTTTGTTGTTTGACTTCTGAATTAGTATTTATTCGGCGTGTTATTGTGTCTTAATTTTAAGATTATTAAATGGCATTTTCATAGTGCTAGAACTTTTAATTATACAATTATTTAAAAAATTTAGCTAATTATAAAATTATTTTTTATTATAAATTATAAAATTATTTTAAAAATTGGATAAGCAATTTTAGGAATTCATTATTATTTGTTATTAAGTATTTGAAAAAGTAAAAAACATTTATTATTAAATATTTAAAGACCTTTTAATGCATGTTTGTACAGTATTATGGTTCAGGGTTTCTCAATTCACATTGAAAATCATGGAAAGTCAGGGATATGAAAAATTATCTGAGACAATTAAGGAAAAATCCCGCTTTTAAAAAAAGTCTGAGAAGTAAAAAAATACAAATCAATGCTATAAAAAATTAAAAAGTTAATGTTTTTAATAGTAACCAATAAACAAAACCTGCTAAAATATGAAGAATAATTATAATCTCTATTTTTATTATGGGAAGTATTTCACTTGCTACAATTGTGCCAACTCGTAGCAAGTGAATTCCACCTGTAAGTGAGGATCATTACACCTTTGCATTAGAAATGTAACTGCAGTCAAAAGTCGTTAATCCGGATTCGTCGGGACTTTGGCGATTCTGGATTATCGATTTTTCCGGATTATAGATCATCAGTTTAAATCTGGTAAGATGGCATGCAGAAATTATAAAATTAAAAATATGAAACCGTAATTTATGAAATAAAGAACAATTATGATCTAAAGGGTATCAAAATTTACAAAAAAAAAAAAAAAAAAAAGCTTAATATTTATTTGTTTACTTTACTTTCTTTGCTATCGGAAGCAAATTATCATGACGAGGAATTTGATTTAAATCATATCAAAGACGGAGTACATCGAGATGAAATACTACATTTTGTAAGGAATTATAAGCCGAATAAAATAAAAACATCTGCCCTGAAGATAAGGATAGTGCTGACAGATCAACTTCCAATTCATTGCGCTGCAACGTTAAAGATAAACAAAGTTTAGATAAACAAATGTTAAAGTTTAGATAAACAAAGGATATGCCTTTATCCATTTTTTGCAGCAATTGCACTGTTTGTTTAATGAATTTCGAAACATACTTTCGCTTTGTAGATCCTTTACATATTAATAAATATATATCAGAAATTCTATTTGACATAATCGAAAGTTCAAGCTTACTTTTATAAAATTGCTCTAACAGTCAGCAAAAAATAATAAGCCAGATCCAATTCGAAGATTAAGGAACAACGTAATCTGCAACATTAACAGAAATAGATAATTAGATAATTTTAGCTTAGCTTATACCGTCCGTTATACATTAAACGCGCACTCGTAAACGTATTTTGCACACGCGCACAAGCATATTCGCAGCCATAAAGGTCTTTCTGCACATGCGTCAATGTGACGCATGCGCAGAAAGTTGTAGCTTTGAGATCCGGATTATGGGTGTCCAAATTAACGGCTTTTGACTGTATTCTTTTATTTGCTTCAAAAGCATGAGGGAAAAAAAAAATTAGATTTTTGTAATGTCTATAGTTATTTCATTGTATTTTATAGAGAATGTGTAAAATTATTTAAGTATTAATTCTAAGTTTGTTAACTAGTTCATTATGTTTGATCAGAGAAGTGTTTTAGTTTGGCCACTGACAATCAAGGAAATTAAAAGCTGAAATTTTAAAATTTGTATTAATTTATATATATATTATTATTTTAATTAATCTGTTTTATCAATTTATTTTAATTTTAATGTGCTGTTTTATTATTTTATCTGAAATATTTAATTTATTATTTCATTTCTAAAAGTTCTAAATCTTGAAAGATTTTCCTTTGCTGTTTGAATTTTGCAATACAGTCAAAAGTCATTAATTTGGACTCGTCGGGACTTCGGCGATTCCGGATTATTGATTTTTCTGGATTATAGATCATCAGTTTAAATCTAGTAAGATGGCATGCAAAAATTATAAAATTAAAAATATGAAACCATAATTTATGAAATAAAGAACACTTATCTAAAGGGTATCAAAATTTACAAAAAAAAAAAAAAAAAAAAAAAAAAAAAAAAAAAAAATTGTTTACTTTATTAAACATTTCTCAATGTAAGTTGTTTAAATTGCTTCATTTTATGTGATAATACTTTCTCTTTAATTCTATAAACAGACATAATTTCTTGTTCAGTTACAAAGTTCCGCTGTTCAAGTCCTATAATTGCTGTGTCGAGAATACCGACTAATTTGTCAATCGAAATTTTTTCATTTTCCATAACCTCTGTGTCTTTTTCTTCACAATCGGAAGAGAATTATAATGACGAGGAATTTGATTTAAATCATATCAAAGACGGAGTACGTCAAGATGAAATGCTACATTTAGGAAGGAATTATAAGCGAAATAAAATAAAAACATCTGCCCTGAAGATAAGGATAGTGCTGACAGATCAACTTCCAATTAATTGCGCGCCACGGCGTTTCCCCTCCCCCCGGCCGCAGAGCAGCGTGAAATTGATAAACAGATTTCAGGATGGTTAAGGAAACAGAGGATATGCCTTTATCCATTTTTTGCAGCAATTCCACTTTTTGTTTGATGGACATTGAAACATACTTTCGCTTTGTAGATCCTTTGGGAGCTCCAGCATCGGAAATTCTATTTAACATAATCGAAAACTTTACTTTTATAAAATTGCTCTAACAGTCTGCAAAAAATAATAAGCCGGATCCAATTCAAAGATTAAGGAAGAACGCAATCTGCAACATTAACTGAAATAGATAATTTTAGCTTATACCGTCTGTTATACATTAAACGCGCATGCGTGAACGTATTATGCGCATGTGCACACGCATATGCGCAGCCGTAAATGTTGTTGGAAAATATAACTTATTGTAAACCTTTTACTGCATCATCTCTCCTCCTTGAAATGTTTATTTAGTTTAGTTCTTATTTTAATGTGTTATAGTAGTTACTTCTACTTCTTTTTCTTACTGCCACTGTTTGCATTGAGAACAGACTGTTTTCAACCTAATTGAGATGCAGAAACGAAACGTGATGTTACGTCATCTGGAAAGCCGATTCGTGCCGATAGCTGATTGGTTGCCGTGAGATGACGTCATGCCTACCTCTGCTATAAGTATCTCGCGTCGCTCTGGCTCAACTCTTCTTCTAGTTCCTGCTTTCCTGGCACTTGGGTGTGCGGTTTCCAGCCCCTTCAGAAGGATGCATGCAGTCCGGTGAATAAAGTTCCTTGGTTCCTGTTCACAAGATGATTGTTCCAGAATAAATTCCTTGGTTCCAGAGGCTACCATGTGAGTGACTGCCGTGTGCGGCATCCATGTTCTTCAATAAAGGCAGCATTTAAAATACGTGATCGGCGATTCCTCGTGCAAACGGAGTTAGGCCGGTTTTAAGTGTTTTCAAGAACTTGATTTAATTTTTAGGTGTTTTCTCAACCATTGATGGTGGACGTTTTGAATGTGTAGCCAACTTCATTTTTAGGCCGCATAATTAATGTTTAGGACATTTTTGTTTGTATTGAATGCCGGTGTTTTGGAGACCATGTAAAAATATTATTTGATGAATGATGGTTATATTATATTTTTCCTAAGACTGTGATATTGTTGAAATTTATTTTCTGTGTTTTTATTCTTTATTATATTGTTAATAAATTGGTTAAGTTCAAAACCTTTTATTGTCTTCAATGTCTGCACAACACAGTATCTCAGGGAGCTTTTATTGCTACTACTGCTAAATGTTTAATTTTATAAACTTTAAACTTTGCTTTAGCATCAAAGGTCTTACGCGTAAGCGTAAACACCTATGCGCATGCGTCAATAAGACGCATGCGCAGAAAGTTTGTAGCTTTGAGGTCCGAATTATAGATCATTCCGGATTATGAGTGTCCAAATTAACGACTTTTGACTGTAATTGTTTTCTAATTTCCGTAATATTGTTATCAATTTTCATGTGGAATATTAAGATGTTTTAGATTATCTTTCCTATTAAAACAATTTTTTTTTAAAGAATTCTTTAGTTGGTCATTTTTTCTTCATTTATGCAGGTGATTTTTATTTGATTATGGTAAAATTAGTTTAAATACTATAATACAATATTAATTATGATTTTTGTAAATGAATAATTTCTGTATTATTTTGTGTATTAAATTTTTGATTGCGTAATATTTCTTTTTTATACTTGAATGTTTATTTATTTATTTTATTTTTCAAAATTAGCTTTCTAAATGAAAATAATAGGGATAACCACTACTACAAGCATAAAATTTAACTAATAATCCAATCCTGTGTCTAATGAAAAATTAAAGGGAAAAAAAAAAAAAAAAAGTTGGTCGAGGGATTTTCAAATTTTAATTTTAGCTATAAAATTAAGTTTATTTGGGAGGAATAAATGAAATAAGGTGATTACTTCATAATAGGTGTTTTGACATTTAGGAAAATAATTATTAATACCATTTTTTATATGTGTATTTTTAAAGTGGGGTACATAATCTTAGTTTTTTCTCCTTTAAAATTTCTGTATTTTTTTTTTCAAAGTAACTGTCTCCTGCTGTGCTTTTTCTAGACTTTCCTTTTTGCTGTTTTTGTAAGTAGGATTCTAATTGCATGTGTAACATTTGTAACTTGTGTAGTTTGCATAAGTAAAGTCATTTGCCTTTCCTTTTGGTGGTGGTGTCCTTGGTGTGAATTTCCCCTTTCTATCATTTAGAGCTGGTTCTCTAAAGTTAATTATACAAGGTGATATTTAGCAACCTTTAAGGTAGGTAGGCTTTTGTGGTTGTGCTTATTTATTATTTTGTTTCATTAACTATTCTCACTTCTTTTTCTTCATTCAATAGTATTTCAGTTTATTTATATGTTTATCATGGTTATGTTAATGATGATAGTGAAAGTAAAAACTGAATTAGCTTTTGCTTATTATGCCTAATAATTAAACATTGTTTATTCGCAATATTTTCCAATCTCACTGACCTGATAATTAACATCATCATGAAAAATTGCTCCAAGAAACATATAAACACTGCCATTGACATTCATGTGAATAAATGGTGTGCAAAGAAATGAAAACCCTGGTGGAGCATGTAGAAGGTCTTTTTAAATCATTTTCTCAGAAAAATAAACCTCCTTCATATTATCATGCAATCTAAATTCATCATCGGAAAATATGTAAAAATCCAGGTAGTCACTTCTGACAATATCTATCAGAATCCTGCATTTATATGAGCTGTAGTAATTAAAACTTAAATCTTAAGTATTTGCATTTAATAATAAATGAATAAAAATTCAGCAAAATATGTCTAAAAGAAACATTTTGAAAATATAGTATACAATATCCAAAAGAATAATTTATTTTGCAGCAGTTTACCAGAGGTGGAATCGAGATAGTTTATCAGTTGATTAATTCCATCTATGAACCATTGAATCATCTGTGAAAAAATAAATAAGTTTAAATTAAGCATGATAATAAAAAAATCTGAGATTTTGAAGTGAGAGCATGTATCACATATTGGGAAACTACACTGTATAAAAATTTTATTGACTGGGCAAAACTGCTAAGTGGTTAAAGAAATGAAACTTATTCAAAGATACTTTTCTAGAATATTGTGATGTTTAATTAGACTAAGCAAAGTTTAGGTACATTTTATAAAACAGAAATGTTTTAACCATTAAAAAGGCATTACACAATTAAAAATAATTTTATTGATGATAAATATCGCATTTAATAAAAATGTTCAAAAATTAAATTTTAAAAATGGGAAAAATTTGAAAATGTTATTGATTGTGCTATTTTGTGTGTAGATATAATGAATTTAAATCATATGTAATTTAAATTAAAGTGTTTAAAAGTGCATGATTGTCTTATGAAATTATTTGATAGCAAAGAAACCCCAAGTTTTTCTTGTAAACAAATTTTAATTGTCACAGCTGCTGTTAAAGAAAGTACTTTTGGGGCTAGGAAATTTACAAAGATGGGAACTTTCTTCTTCCCTCCCCTGTTTTTGGTATTTAAATAAATTATAACTTTAAATATTTTTAATTTCTAAATATATATATATATATATATATTGCTGAATACCATGATTTAATGTATTGATTATAAGAACCAAAAGTTTTGTAACTGCAATCTTAAATGTCTGAGATGAGGCAGAGGCAGTGTTGCTACTTTTGACAAAATCTCTGTGATGAAATTTGCATGTGTGTGACTTTGCGAAATTTTTATTAGTCTATCGTTTCCTTGTGCTATTTTTTGCGACTGTAAAAATATTTAAAAGATCGTAAAATGCTTATATGTTAAAATAATATATCTCCTAAACTAAATTTAATAAATAAAATAAATAAATAAAATATAAGTTATTTAGGCTTAAATAAAAGTTGGCTTTTGGAAATCGTGAGATCATAGAAAACGTGCAGTTTTCAGCAACAGTGGCTGCTGTTTTCACGGCTTAATTGATTTATTAATTGATTAATCTTGAAAATTTGCTGAAATCTTGAAAAATTTAACAAATGCAGCTAGAAGAGTATTTTCAAGATCACATTGACTGAAAGCATTGTGTACTCAATTTGTTTGCCTGTTGTGTAAAGGGCAATTTAAAAATTTTTCTTTGAACTTATGGACCAAATAGTGTGTTATATTGATAGATAGAAAAATTCCATAAAGTAATAGTAATGAAAGGAAGAATATTGCAAAAAAGTATGAAAGAGTTATTTACCTTAATTGATCATTTTATTACTTTTCAAATATTGTTTTTAAGCCAGTTTTTATCCCAATTCTATGGTGATAACGAAGTGATTTGTAACTTGAGTGCTATAACATATAGGGTACTCAAAGAGAAAGAAATGAAATTTATTCTCTTGTTTATAATATTATTCAGAACTAAACAATCGAGGTGACTTGAAAGTCGAAGTAAAATCAGTTTTCTAAATAAAAGCAAAAAGAAATTTTGCAATGAAAGAATGGAGATTTTATTAGTAATCGTAATCTGATAAAGTCAAGCAAGCAGAAAGGAAAATTCACTGTAAAGCATTAATAGTTAAATCAAAAAACAATAAATTAGGAAAATGAACTGCTAACTCAAATAAATTAATAATAACTGAGAGGAAGCACATAACAATGGATATGAACAAATTAATTTAAAAATAAAAGCCTGAATTAACTGATAATTAATTAAAAGAGAAAAATGAATGTTTAAACAATGGATAATTAGCAATATAGTTTTAAAATTTTCGTCAAAACTAAGATATGTATTACAGTCTGTAGCTTACGGAATCAGTGCAGACTGAATTTGTGATGACGTCAGAGGTCATGTGAACATGCGAAACTATGGCATCATGAAAATCACGTGATGTCATGTGCGACTTTTTGTGACATTTTGATTCTCCTCCTGCTATTTTAGTTGAAAAATAATTATATGTACTATATGTAATATTTGCTCTGTTTGGCCTGGAGATGTCTTAAAAAAGTTGCTAAAAAGTTGTCGAGTTATACGGAATATCGAGATATCAAGAATCGAGTTTGCGGGACTCTACTGTAGGTGTATGAATGAGGTCCTTTACACTGGGGTTCAAGCTGTTACTGCACCTTTTTGCCAGGTGTAGGCATATTTTGAGTGACAATATTTATGAAATAAACAATATAACTGACTAATGACATTAAAATAAATTATGTCTTCTTCATCAGGGCAAAATATTTATGTAGTTTATCTACATTATTCTTAAGTAATTTAGATTATTTTTAAAGAATAAATTTCAAGTTTTCAATCTCACTTTCAATATTATTCTCTTATTTAGCTTTTAAACATTTAGCCTTTTCTTTTCTTTATACAACTTGTCTGAAATGACACTAATGTTTTAATTAGATTAAAATTATATTTTTATTTTATTTCTAAATTATATATTATAGTTATCTCGTATAAGTAAATTATATATTATAGTTATCTCGCATATAGTTATCTCGTATAAGTAAGGTGTAACTGGATTACTTGTATAAATGCATATGTTGATGCATGTTTAGGCAAAGATGCATCACGTTCCCCCTCACGGCCTCAAAGCTCAATGTCTGGAGCCTCCGAAATTAGTGCAACTTCCAGTAGTGTCTCCACTGTGAATATGAGGCCTCGAGTGGCTCCAAGGCGCCCACGACCTTATAGCATAGCCGGTTCAACAGCTGATAGAACTTCTATGACTTCTACATCAATAAAAAAAGAGGTTGAAAGGCCACCTACAGCAACTAGAAAAGACCCTGAAAGGCCCTCAAGATCCATCGATAAAAATGGCAAGTATTAGATAAAATCATATATGCATAGCATTTGTCATTAAATCAGTTTGTATAACTATTCAAATGATGTGCTTTATAGAAGTTGGCTGATTGAAAAGTTTTAAGACTTTCTGATTAAAAATTAGATGATTTTATCAGTTCTGAATTTTTAATTTTTAAAAAGAATCAGTTACATTGATTTAGATTTTAAGCAACGTTTTATTTATGATTCAAAAACATTAAAATATACATTTTTAAACATCTATTTTAGCATGCAGATGTGATATTTTTCACTTTCTTATCTGGAAGAGATCTTTTTTCTGTACATTATCTTCTCATGATTGAGAATGCCAGAAAATCACTCAGCATTATAACTGGGCTATGTGGAAACAATTTGAATGTTGTCCCATTGATTTCAAGCAGTGCTGTCAGTGCATCTATAGCAACAAAATGTAACCAGTTATTTTCCTGGAGCAAAACTATTCTTTTTTTAGTAATGGCTCCATACTAGTAGGTTATTGAGAGGTTTGCATAATAGTTACTATGCATTATCTGCTGGTGGGTTAGTAATGCTGACATGCATAATCTCAGAGTGTTTTATCAATTTAGCAGATGGTCTTCCAAAATGTTTTTCATTGATAGCTATAATGTTACTCTTTTTTGAAGTGCACCACTGTTGAAATAAATATTTTGCCACCATATGGATGCTGTAACTATCATTCAGCACCATTTCAAATGTTTCAGTATTCCTTTTCACAAGTATAACAAACACAAAACAAAGTATAACACATCTGCCATATTTTCCCAGACATGCTTTGCTTATCTACAACAATGACAAAGCATTTTATAGGCTCTATCTCATTATAACTGAACTCCATCTCACTGAACAAATATTGAAAAGCATGTCTGTGATTTGGGCACATCGAGGTATAGCCTTAATGAAAATTAGAAAAGAAAAAAATAGGAGTAGTCTTAAAACTTTTCAGTCAGCATTTGTATGTATCTGCCTTGAGCACAACTGGTGTTGGGGATGATGGCTTACCTACAAGAAGTAATTGCATTTTATTTCCTGTAGTAATAGAAAATTATTTATTTGTACTATGTTTTGCATCTAATGGTTCTGTGAGTCTAAAGGTGCATCCAAGAGGTAACAAGAGGTTTTGTAAACAATAACAACATTTATTTACAAGTAAATATATAGAATTTTCAAACAGTTAGAGATATATTATTAGGCATCTCTGCCTTCCATGTCCTACACCTTTAGTATCCTGCCTGCCACTGACTATTGGGACAAACACAGTGCCCTCTAATCAGAATGACGCGGGAAATATGTAATACTCCCCACCTGAATACACTTGAGTTCACTTACAATTGAATTTTAACTAAATTTACATTCAGGAACCATTTAAAATTACAAGAATAAAAATATAAATAGCATATTATATCAAATACAAAGCTTCAAAATTATTGTCACTTGACATACAAAAACAAATTACGCTTTTAACTTCCAAAGAAAATTGTTCAAATATCAAGCCTTAAAATATAAGCACAATTAAACATAATTAAGGATTAATTTCCAAATTATATACAAGTTGTACTAAGCGTTTGATTTTTCCTTTAGGAGTTGGAATAAGAAGAGAATGAATTTTTCCGTCTCTTCCTGGATATAGCTCTAAAATTTTCCCTATCATCCACATATTTCTAGGATAACGCTCATCATTAATCAAAACAATATCATTCACTTTAAATGAAACTGTTTTACCTGGTTGTAGAGAACTATAAGCTGATCTCAGATTAAGTAAATATTTTTTTCTCCACCTGTTCCAGAAGTGATTCAAAAGTGTTTGCTGAAATTTATCTTTCTTTACCAAAGAATTTCTATTAACATTTAAATTTTAATTTTTATGTTTTATTACAGGTAGACACCAACCTTTTACCAATGAGAAAATGAGATGGGTTGAGTGGAGAGGGTTCTGAGGGTTTGTTGTACAGATAGGTGATAGGCCTGGAATTAACCAAAGTCAATTTCTGAAAAAACAGTTTCCAATTCCTTCAAAGAGAAAGAGGATCGTCCAACATTTTTCTTTAAGCAGGTTTTAACCGTTCGTATCTCTCTCTCCCAGAAACCTCCCCACCATGGACTTTTTTCAACTATAAAATTCCAAACTATACCTTTAGAAGCAAACAAATTTTTAACTTGATCATTATCTATCTGATTCCACCATTTTTCCAATTCACTATTTGCTTTTTTAAAAGCTTTGCCGTTATCAGAATATATAGTGGAACATAATCCTTGACGAGAAACAAGTCGTTGGAGTCCTAACAAAAAGAATCAGCACTTATGTTAAGAACTACTTCTAAGTGGATACCTCTTGTCACTGCACAGCTGAATAGAAGTAAATAACACTTTGAATTAAAATCACAAACAAAAATGGTTCGGCAAAATCCACACCACATATATCAAACGGTGCATGCTCTTGAATTCTGTGTATTTAGCATATTGCAAGTTTTCTTGTAACTGAGAGTTAACTGAATTTTAAAATTCTTATATACAGTACAAAGTCTGTAATCCGGACTCGTCGGGACTTCAGAGATTCCGGGTTAGGGGTTTTCCATATTATAGATCATCAATTTAAATCTGGTAAGATGGCTTGCAGAAATTATACAATTAAAAATATGAAATTGTACTTTATGAAATAAAGAGCAATTATGATCTAAAGGGTATCAAAATTACAAAAAAAAAAAAAAAAAAGCTTAATATTTATTTACTTTATTAAATATTTCTTTCATTGCATGCATGTGTCAAGCATACATTACGCATAGTCGAAATTAGAAAATTGCAACCAGAAAACTATTTTATGTGTATTCGTGATATTTATAATGATGAGGAATTTGATTTAAATCATATCAAAGATGGAGTACATCGAGATGAAATACTACATTTAGTGAGGAATTATAAGCTGAATAAAATAAAAACATCTGCCCTGAAAATGAGGATAGTGCTGAACAATTATGATCTAAAGAGTATCAAAATTTACAAAAAAAAAAAAAAAAAGCTTAATATTTATTTGTTTACTTTATTAAACATTTCTTTCAATATAAGTTGTTTAAGATGCTTCCACAAAAAATTCAAAAAGTTCCTTTTTCTTGTGTCATATATAGTGGACTTTCCAATGCCATACTTCTCGCATAATTTTGAGACAGATAGGCCTTTATCCATTTCTTGCAGCAATTCCACTTTTTGTTTAATGGACATTGAAACATGCTTTCGCTTTGTAGATCCTTTGGCAGCTCCAGAATTGGAAACTATTTTTGACGTAATCGAAAGTTCAAGCTTAATTTTTATAAAATTGTTCTAACAGTCTGCAAAAAATAATAAGCTGGATCCAATTAGAAGATTAAGGAACGGCGCAATCTGCAATTTTAACTGAAATGCCTTAGATAATTTTAGCCTAGCTTATGCCGTCCATTATACATTAAATGCGCAAGTGTAAACACGTTACGCGTTTACGCATACGCATAAAGTTTGTAGCTTTGAGGTCCGGATTATAGATCATTCCGGATTAGACTTTGTACTGTAGTATTTTTATGACTATTATAAAAGTGTATGTAATTTTTTTCATAGAAAATACAGCTTTTGTTTTAATACCTTTTGTTTCTGAATTTTATAGTGCTGAACACTGTTCAGAAACCCCAAAGGGCAAAAAGTGCAAGCAAGGAAAAAGATGAGGCCCAAAATACCAGGCCGTCGATGCCTAAAAAGCCAGTTCCACCACCTAAATCATTGGAAGTTCTAGCTAGAGCTAAATCACATCCAGTACCTATTAAAGATAACTTAAGAAAGGTATGAAATAAACAAAAAAGAATGTTTTACAATGAAAGATTCATTTTTGTAACATTCATATATATTGTATATTACCATTCAGTTATTGTGCAATAAAAAATCAAAATTTTAGTTGCTTTCTGCATTTGTATATATATGTGTTTGTATACAAATGCAGAAAGCATCTTCTGCAATTGTATGTGTGTACAGAATATAGGTTTTAAAAGATGTAGAATTTGATTTGGGCTATTCTGGCAACTTGTGTATACTGTTGAAAACTTTAAAATTAATACTGTATTGAAATTGATTTGCTACTGAAACATTTGTATTGAATTTCAGTAAAACATGCATATATCTTATACCAAGTCTTGAAACTACGGGTAGTGGCCACCTGTACGAGTAGTGCCTAAAGTGTTTTATATTTATAGTAAATACCTATGAAAATGTATTCAGTAATACTTTTTTTAAAAATTTTAATTGTTTTTTGCAGCTTGTAATTTGATTTTAAATTTTTAATTTGAAAACCTGTGTTACACTTTAATTAAACATTAAGCAACGATTAGATTACAAATAAATGTAATATCTAATTATGTAGGCAGTTTAAAATTTAGAAATATTCAAAATATAACTGTATTACCATGTAATATATAAAATTAATGTAATAAAAAATGTAAAAGTGAGAGCAAATAAAGATGAAAATATCCCTGACTACATTTTCGTTAGAACTAGTCTAACATTGTTTAAGCATTATTGTTATCATAAATGCAGCACGTTATAATGCTTCACATATAAATATGAATATTAGGTCAAGTCTTTCTAAACCCGTAATAGAAATGGAGTGAAAGCTACATCGTTAACCAGATTGTTGTATAGAAACATTTCCAAAACTTCTAGGAAATCTAGCCCACCAGCGGCCGAGCAGTAACGTCACTGAACACTGGTAGTTCGGCGAGGTTCGAATCCCGCAAACGGGCTGGCTGCATGGGTGTTTTCGTGGTTTTTACCCATGTGTAACGTGTATACGAGCCAGTTTCCCTTAGAAAGTCCTCCACGAAGGCATCCCTCCTCTTAGGCAGATAGCCCTAGTGTGCTTTGCCATAATTAAATACACCATCTAGGAAATCTAGATTTAAAGGGGAACAATGATTTTTGGCTTTTGATAATCAAAAACTGTGTCAACAGTGGAAAGCAGTTGAAAATCTTTTTACTTCCTTTTGTTTCACAGGAACATAACACTGTGTAACTTCTTTATTTATTGATATGGAAATTATGATCTGTCATTGACGCTGTGAAAGTGCAGTAGGGTTTTTAAGAAATGCAGATGAAAGTTGTTTAGATAGCGTTTCTGTTTGATACAGGCAATGCAAAAATTGAAGTTTTGAGTGACACCTGTAAGGAGGGACAACAAGTAGTTATGTAGAGCTTTTTCAGCATATAAAAAGGGATAAGATTTGAATTACAGTTCATCTGGAGATGAATAGTTATATAAACTTCTGGAATGTAGTTTGTGGAATCTGTTTATCAGTTAAGAAACCGTAAATAACTTAATTGCAAAATAAAGTTAAATTATAAAAGTTAATAAAATGCCAGACTGTTTAACAAATAAGTATAATTGACAATATCTTTGTTTATGTTAATTTTTATGATGACTGAGCTTTTTTTTTTTTTTTGTGTGTGTGTGTGTGTTTTAAATTGCACAAAGTTATTTTCATGAAGTATTTATTGTAAAATTAATGTATTCTTTTTTGTGTGTCTTTGCAATAGAATGTGAAACCTAATGCAGGTGTTAATAATCCTGCCCTTGGTGCCACAAAACCACATACAGATATGAAAGGTAAAAGTCCTGAAATTGAACATATCAAACCTTCTATAATGAAATCTGAATCTGAAACAAAATCTTTAGCTCCAGAAATGAAAAAGAACTCACCTGTTACTTCACCTACAACAGATTCAGAGATATGCATAAGTTCTGATGACTCAAAAGTAAGTGCTGTGACAGAATCTGAAGTGAACACAATGACTCAATCAGCGACTGATTCTGAATGGAGACTAGAGACTTCTGAAATTTCATCGTTATCTAAATCCTCAAGTATTCCTGTGGCAGATCAAAATAATCTTGCCAGTGAAGTAGATAAAAGTGACAGCATTCCAAACATTCCAAAAGAGCCTATTAAAGCTGAAAAAGAATCAAACATTGTAACTACAGAAAATTTAGAAACACATGTAGCTACAGAAGTGTCAGAGAAATATGCAACCACAGGAGAGTCAGAAAAATGTTTATCCACGAAAGAGCCAAGCAAGCATGAACACATGAAACAAACAAAAGTATCAGAGAAACGCGTATCTACAGAAGAGTCAGAGAGACGCGAGAATGTTGAAAATGAAAATGTTAATACCAAGGAATTTATACCATCAAAACCTAGAATAACATCGGAAGAAGAAGCAAAAGCAGCATTGGCTGAAAAACGTAGATTAGCTAGAGAACAAGCTGAGAGGGAAGCTGAGTTAGAGAGGCAGAGGCTTGAAGAAATAAGGTTTGTCTTTTTAATTTTTTAAAGTTTTTTTGACTCTTGTATATGTGTTTGTTTCCCAAATGCGATGTTTATGTGCTCTTGCATTCTTCCCCATTTTTTAAAAGTCTTCTCAGAGATTAATTGGGATTTATATCGAATGCTTATAGCTTGAAAATCAAAATAAATGCCTAAATAAACTGATTCATATGTTATAACTACATTAAGAATTGTTCTTTCATAAATTAGCTTATCCACATAATTTGCCTATTAATATGTTCGTAGTGACCATCTAGCAAGAATATTTAGTGGTAACTTATGCAAGAAAAAGGAAAATGGTACTAGGCCTGAAAAAGAATGGTCTACCATCAACTCCGATTAATTGGGCTTTGTCTAGAAAAAGATGCTCAATTTGGATATTGTGAAACCATAGAAATATTAGTATTACAAACTATCAGTATAAAATAAAATTAGCTTTAGAAAATACAGAAAGGAAAAGTACATAGGTTAACTGCAATATTAGTAAATGATATTGTAGCATTTAGGAGTTGTTTTTATCAATCACAGTATGGGATTTAATTATATGTAATCTGGACTATATCAGCATTTCATAGTAAGAAGCATAAAGCTCTGTCATTTTTACTAGATTTCAAACTCATTGACCATGTTCAAGTTCTGCTGTTAATATTGTTCTTTAATGCTATCATTTTTAAACGGTGGCATTTATGACTTTTTCTCTCTATGTTATTTACTATCTGTTCTTTTTTGTTTTGAATTGTGAATTAATTTACATGACAAAATAAATTTATTCTTTTGAATAAACTCTAAAAAAAAAAAAAAAGATAAATTGCTTATGTCTTCTTTTTACTACAGTTAGTTCCTTAACCCCTTAAGCAGTTTGCCCGTACGGTGTACGTGCTACCCGAAATTGGCCTCAACCGGTTTGCCCGTACGGCGTACGGGCATAGATATTTTCTCCTTTCCTTTTCTGGTTTGCCCGTATTTTTCAATATTGCAAAGATACTATTTAGTATTAATATTTTTCGACAGATGGCGTGACTTGTCCATGTAACTGAAATGCTTTCATCTGGGTTTTTCTTTGTAGCGGGAAAGGGGGGATTTTTCTTTGAAATTTTTGTTTACTTGTATTCAACGCTTGTGAATTTAAACCTTGTCTTTTCTTATGGAAGTTATGGATGGAATAAACGACGAAAATACTTTCTTGTAGATGATGAATACATTGATACAGATACAGATATTTCATCTAATATTGGATTATCCTCAGATGAATCATGCAGTGAGCTCAGCTCTGATGAAGATTGTGTTCTGCAAGGATTTTTACGAGGTTGATGTGAAAAATCCACTGTTCCGTGTCCTCGATTTAATTTACTGGTATTCCTTCTGTGCACGCACAATTTGAAGACACTTCTGATGTTTTAGAATTTTATGAAACATTCATTGATCTTCACTCATGAGTAAAATTGTGGAAGAGACAAAAAATATGCTAAAAAAGTGCATCCAATCGAGTGTTGCAAACAATTCTCAAAGAGTAAATTTGGGAAGAGACAAATGTGAATGAGTTGCATGTTTTTCGCTCTGAATATGCTTCAAGGATTGTAAAGAAACTGGAATTGATCATTATTGGAGCAAAAGATATTCGACTAATACACCTTTTTTCTCTAAAATAATGTCTATCGTCGATTCTGTCTTTTGCAATGTTACTTGCATTTTCTGATAATGCAGCATTTGACCAAAGAAAATCACGAAGCCCAAAATTAGTTAAAGTTGGCCAGTTGTAAAACATCTCATAAGAAATTTAGTGAAACGGTGACACCAGAGCGAGATTAAACAATAGATGAGAGCCTTATGCTATTCAAAGGACGACTAGGATGGAAACAATTTATTCCACTCAAAAGAGCTAGATTTGGAGTAAAATGTTTTATGTTGTGCGAATCAATTCGGTTATGTCTGGTCAATAATAATTATAAGGTAAAGACACAATTCTGAAACTGAATATTCTAAACTTTGCTTTCATCACAAATGTCCTGACATGATGGAGCCTTTGCTTCATAAAGGATACTGTCTTACATAGACAATTATTATTCTTTGCCGAATAGCAGACAAACTAGTTTATGTCGAAGCGGACACATACGGCACATAAACATCAAGAGAAAAGAAGTCCCAAAGAAATGCAGAAAAGAAAATTGAAAAAAGGAGAGATTATAGGTTTTCAGAGAGGAAAAGTTACTGTGATGAAGTGGATGATAAAAAAAAGTTTCATTACTTTCCACAATTCACAATACTGAAATGGAACAAATTCAAGTCCGCTGATATGAAAGAAAAACCGAAAAATTGTTATGGACTAAATAATATATGGGAGGAGTAGACCGCTGGACCAAAATTTGAAGAGTTTTGAAATATCAAGAAAAGGGGTAAAAATGTTACAGAAAGATTTTTTCCACATTTTTGATATTGCTATATGGAACCCGTATGTTGTCTCCGTAAAAAAGGAGAAACGTACGCAACTGGAATTAGACTTGATCTCGTTGACCGTATAATTGAAACATATCATTTGGGACAAAATTTCCGACGTGGATGACAGGTTGGAGCCTAATCCTCTGAGATTGACTGAGAGACATTTTTTGGAATAATTGCTCCCACAGATAAAGAAATGAGACCTGCAGACCAATGCGCAGTGTGCTGTTCTAAAAGAAATGAGAATGGAAAAAGAATACGAAAAGAAACAAGGTATTTCTGCCCTGATTGCGACGTAGGACTCTGCATTACACCATGCTTCAAATTATACCATACACAAAAAGACTTCTGAACTGTTTGGAAAAATATAAACTTCAAAATTCACAGTAAGTATGAGAGAAATTTTTATAGAAATTGTAAACCATTCTTTCCTGCATGCAAAATGTGCTTGAAAAAAGCAAACATTTAGGGGTTTTTGCTTTCCAAAATGTAAAATAAAAAAAATGTTGTAAAACCATTAAAAGTGAAAAAAAAAACTTTAAAAACTCTTATTATTCTTATTCTATTAAGTATGGTACTTAATTATATGCAATAAAAAATATGCTTTTTTTGGGAGCAATTCTGGTAAAAAAATTGACCGCTTAAAGGGTTAATCTTCGAATTGGATCCGCCTTATTATTTTTTGCAGACTGTTAGAGCAATTTTATAAAACTAAGCTTGAACTTTCGATTATGTCAAATAGAATTTCCGATGCTGGAGCTCCCAAAGGATCTACAAAGCGAAAGTGTGTTTCGATGTCCATCAAACAAAAAGTGGAATTGCTGCAAAAAATAGATAAAGGCATACCCTTTGCTTCTCTAACCATTCCGAAACCTGTTTATCAATTTCACGCTGCTCTGCGGCCAGGGGGGGGCGGGAACGCCGCGGTGTGCAATGAATTGGAAGTTGATCTGTCAGTACTATTCTTATCTTCAGAGCAGATGTTTTTATTTTTTTTGGCTTATAATTCCTTACTAAATGTAGTATTTCATCTTGATGTACTCCGTCTTTGATATCATTTAAATCAAATTCCTCGTCATTATAATTCGCTTCTGATAGTGAAGGAAAGTGACACAGAGGTTATTGAAAACGAAAAAATTTCGATTGACAAATTAGTCAGTATTCTCGACACAGCAATTATAGGACTTGAACAGTGAAACTTTGTAACTGAACAAGAAATTATGTCTGTTTATAGAATTAAAGAGAAAGTATTATCACATAAAACGAAGCAACTTTGTAACAACTTACATTGAAAGAAATGTTTAATAAAGTAAACAAATAAATATTAAGCTTTTTTTTTTTTTTTTTTTTTTTTTTGTAAATTTTGATACCCTTTAGATCAGTGGTGCGCAAACTTTTTTCGAATGCGACCGCTTTTGTAGAGAGAAAATTTTTGGTGACCCCCTAGAGATAAATGTTCACAAATACGATGTATATTTCGCGCATTTCTTTTGTTTCATTGAATAAAAACATCATCATATCTGACTCATATTAATTTTATTTATAATTTTAAGAACATACTTTTTGTATAACACAAAAATCAGTAAATTGCCCTTTAATGAGATGTATGTGGCAAGTTTCTAATTATCTCATCGATGTTTGGATGTATGTTGCTAATTGCAGTTCGCATATCATCTTCAGGGTTTAAACGTAAGTGGTATTTAGTTTTTATTGAAATGAGTTTGCTAAATCCAGTTTCACATAAATACATTGATGCAAATTGTATTAACACTCTGATGGCATTCTTGCATAAAACGGGATATTGTTTTTCCACTGACAGCCAAAATTTTTGGCAAGGCTGAGTCTTAAATTGATTTCAAAGAGTATAATCACTAATTAGATCTATCAATTGCTCTTTCTCACTAATTTGAAGAGTTGAACTGCATATGAAAGGAAAATGGATCACGAATCCAACCAAGATCGTTTTCAGGAAAATCCTCAAATCTTATCGAAAAATTTTCCTTTAACTTTTCAATGTGATTGGAAATGATGTTTTTAAATGTAAATATATATATATTATTTTCCTTGATAAAATCGTTAAAGCAAGGGAACATGTCGGTGTTGTTTTTATTCATTTCAGTTTGCCAGAGACTAAGCTTATTCTTAAAAGCTTAAATTTTACTGGCTGAAGTTATGATAGTTGAATTCTCACCCTGCAAGCTCAAATTTAAGTCGTTAAGTTTTTCGAAAATATCAACTAAATAGCTCAGCTTCCCTAGCCAAACTTCATTGATATAATAACTTGCCAATCTATGTTTCGTTTTGATTAAAAACATGTACACTTCATTTCTCATTGCAAAGTATTGAAAAGAGACGGCTGTTGTGGCTGTTGCATTTAATGTAGTTAATTGAACTAACAGCGTCTTGTAATATGTTGTGCAACTCTTCATCCATATCTTTTGCAACAAGAGCTTGCCGATGAATCATACAGTGATTAAATATCATATGAGGCACCACCTTCTGAATTAAGCCTCTGAGCCCTTTATTCGAACCTTTTAATGCTGCAGCAC